TTTGCCCGGGCAACGTCAAATGTCTGTGTTTGTCAGTCGCTGTGTGTGTTCGTTGTTGTATATAGGCTTTTTTCCAAATTAATATTAAGAATAATTCTGCCAATATTTTTTTAAATAATCAATCGCGAGGTCACTCGGAGCAAAAGGGGGTGATGCATAACCCCCCCTCACGAGCAGCTGCCTTTTCACACTCGAGACCAGAGAGCAGGAGGTGAGCCATACAAGTGTAATCAAAAAAACCCCAGAACAAAGAGAAGTCGGGGGTTTTGCTAATTAGATTCTGGAGACACAGGACTTCAAAAGGCCCCCTCAGGAGACGCCACAATATTTTATTTTTCGTTTCCATTAATACAACGCGTAAAAGTTCAAAACTTAGCGACAAAGATTAAGTCGATATCGTAGTAGGACAACACACTCGCCCAGATTAAGAACCAGGCTACAATCTACATTCGCGAACTTGATTTATTAATTACCTTATTTTTCTCCCGTTCACCTCACATATTGTCTCTTGTTAGATTTTGCTATCTACGTGACCTTCCCAATAACCACGGAATACGAATGCCAGCAGTCAAGGAAGCTTAAGTGAAAACTTAGTTACATCTAACCTCAGGACATAAAAAAATAACTCGAGTAAAACAGCACAATCCCAGGATACAGATAGACAACAAAGGTTAATAAACCCTAGGAATATACGTGGTAATAACCATGATAAATCACAAACCAAATAATAATTATGAAGTATTAAACCAAGGGTCATCCAGAAGAATTAAAAGGCGAAGTAGGTCAACCACGTGCAAGCAAGATAAAATGTATTCCATAGAGAATCCTCCCAGCCGCCTTTGTCTCCCAGCAGCACGTGGTAGCAATAAAACCACAAAAGGAAAGACGAATGTGATACCCTCCCGCGACGGAAGGAGCCGGGCATAAAATAGAACACACACGCACCCCGGACGAGGGGTGCCGAAACAGACGTTTTTTTTTGTTAACTTTTTTTTTTCATGTTTCTTCTAACAACAGTAAAAGTTCAAAACTTAGCGACAAAGATTAAGTGAACATCATAGATCCACACACTCACTCCAATTAAGAACCAGGCTACAATCTACATCAGTGGATTATTATTTCTCATTAATTAATTCAATACTAATGGGTTTTTTTTTATCTACGCGACCTTACCAAAGCACCAAAGAGTGAATTCCGGTAGTCAAGGATGTTCTTAAGCCAAAACTTAATCCTCCATCCTCGGGATATCAAAATATAACTCTAAGTAAAATACCGATCCCTGGCGACACAGACTTACAGCAACGCTAAATAAACCCTATGAAAATACGTGGTAATAACAATGCTAAATCACAAATCTTGAATAAACATAAACCAATTAATAATTCTTCTTGGTTCTTTCGGTAAAGTCACCGACGTGACTTTACCAAGAAGATGAATCCCTGCAGTCACGAAAGCTTTACATCCAATTAATACTTATGAAGTATTAGATCGAAGGTCATCCAGGAGGGATGAGGCGAAATAGCCCAACCACATAGGACAAAATTTTTTTATTCCATAGCCTCCCAACCGCCTTTGTCTTCCCGCAGCACGTGATAGCAAGATTTGCACACACAGACAAAAGAGCATCTCCCCTTAAAAATAAATCAAACCACGATGGAAATACTGTGAAAACGGCTACAAAACATACATTGAGTCACTTACAGTAGTACTATAAGAGGCAAAATGAGTTTTTATTTTAACTTCCAAACAGTACAACAGGACAACTTGAAAACTTTTGTGAGGCAAACAATGTCACACCCACCGCGAGGGAAGGGGGGGGGAAGACGGGGAAACCCCCCTCCTTCCAGGTTAAATATTACAGAGGGTGGGGGGACTGAATGGATGTACGTGGGGGCATCTGGGGCAGCTGCTTCCATTAATGGCATTATAACCGAGGAAGGCGACAGGAAGCAGGCTTTGATGAAACTTATATTACCTCAATAAAATCAGAAACACACACGGACACACGTACAGCTGTTCCCACAGGCGGGGAGCAAAAACAAAGAATGGTTCCGGTCCTTTGTGAGAAGGCGTGCCAAGGAGAGAGACTTTTCAGATATAACCAGAGACTCGACCCATACAACGAAGCCTTGCAGAGAGAAGACGACTCCAGCAACAGAAGACACCAGCGACAGAAGGGCTCTGCAATCAACCCAGGATGGCGAGGCTCGCTGAGTAGCGATGTGCTACCCAGTGCGAATTCAGCGCTGACCAAAGAAGTATCGCTCGAAAGCCATTCTACCCTGAGTGCCCGCTCCCACGAGCCGCTGCAGTTCGAGTTGAGCTGATGAGAATTCCAGCAATCATCCTCGAGAAAGGGCGGAAAGCGCCAAGCACCGACCAAGCCAGCATCACAGAGAACCAGCTCCAACGAGCAAGGCTGCCTGCCACCAGCGAACGAGCGCATCGTTCATCGCCAGAGAACCCGGAGCCGGAGAGAGCGCAGCAGCGCCGCCAGCGCCACCGAGCACAGGTGTCAGCTTGCCAGCGGACGAGCGACAAGAGCGACTGAGCATCTTCAAGGACAAACATCGTGCCGACGCAGCCCATCCAGTAGCGGAGAGAGCCGGCAGCGAACAGCAGACACGCCCCGAGCGAGAGGGGGGAGATCCGAAGCCGTTCGTATGACACGCTCACATTCACACGTGACCACGCATCGCACGGCATCTGCCTGATGCAAAGAATTGATCAAGGGAACCAAAACCACACACACACCCGGAATAACACAAATATTTTTTTTCACCACACACACACATGAAACAAACCGGAGCCGATAATAAAAAGACTAATTATAAGAGTGCATGAACCATTAGCTGATCGTGAAGACATTGGTGCTCATCGAGTGATATGAATACGGTCATTTATAAGTACATTAGTCGTAAAAAAATAATAATTGCATAAAAATTACCAATAGATTCATCGATGTAAATTAAACTTTTGAAACCTTCGTTACGAATCTATACACTCACAGGGAGAACAATGTGTTAAACCTTTCTTTTGATCACAGAATCTTGCCCACAAATTGAAGCTTAGCCAAAAGATAACATCTGCGTCAGCAGACATACATTACTGCACACCATTGTTCCGAGACATTTCGTTAATTGTATAATCTTGCCGATGAATATATTGACGTATACTGTTGCCTTCGGGATATAATAATTAGCTTTTTATTGCCTTTCGTATGAATATCGTCGCGTGCATGTTTTAAGGACTTTCCCCTATCGCCGTATATGCTCGCGTTACTCGGAGGAATTAATCAGATGTTCAGTTGCCCAGTTTCACAACGTAATCATTGATGGTTAAATGTACGGATCAATGAGGGGAATTTCCCCAGTGGTACTGTGTTGATAATTCCAAGCATAAGAGTTTTCATATTAGAGTGTTTTGTTTTTATTTAAAAATTAAAATTGCTTAACACAGAAAAGTCTGAGTGGTTCCTTCCTGAGTTCATGCATAATAATCTTAATTATAAGACCTGTATTTTGCGGTGAGATTTGAATTTGAAGACCTGACATAAAACACGAAGACATGATCAGTACATTTTAAAGCGAGAATAATAGTTTTGTCCTGATTGATAATACGACCCGAGACAACGAAGCTAAGCCTGATTATAATTATCGAATACATTAGTATAATCGCATACATTTACATAACTTAATACGATCACCTCCCTAATTAGCGTCATTTATGCATAGAATTACATAAATTAGCATAATTTCCAATAATTACGTATTTTCCCAATCCTCATTTAATTATTTTTATAAATGTTTCAAGAGCCGACATATACAACATAGTCCATGTGTGTGCATGGCTTCATGTAAGTCACTGTGTGTGTCGATGTGTCAGTTGATGTGTGTGTACGTCGATGTGTATGTACTAGTCCATGTGTATGTATTAGTCCGTGTGTGTATCTAAAGTCCATGTCTGTGAGTCCGTGTGTGTGTAGGCCAATGTGTGCGAGTCTATGTATGTGTGTATGTAAGTCAATGTGTATGCATGGGTCAATGTTGTGTGTAAGTCCATGTGTGTGTCTCTTAGCCGATGTGTAAATCCATGTGTGTTTAGGCCCATGTGTGTGAGTCTACGTATGTGTATACGTCGATGTGTGTGTAACTCCATGTGTATGTATCTAAAGTGGATGTCTGTATGTGTGTAAGTCGATGTGTTTGTGTGTGTGGGTCGATGTCTGTGTCTAAGTCGATGTGTATGTGTCTTTTTCGCTCGGGCAACGCCAGGTAATTCCCGCTAGTACTCTTATATAAGCGCACAACTTCATCTATCTGTGACGAATGCTGCACTTTCCGTTGTTTTCATGCAGGGGGCGCTGCAAACCTACGCGGCCGCTGCATGAAGGAGGCGCAGGGACAGACGTTTGATCACGTTGGAATCGATCTGCAGACGGCGGTCTTCTGGCACGGCCAGCTCTATTGTCGCCTTATCTCTATGTCGCGATCCCAACCAGGGGAAAGTCTGCATCGAACCAAATCCCCGGCAAGGCCATCTACTTCACGAGAGAAAATTCTAACGAAATGTCGTTTTCAATTAAGTGTTCCAGATATAAAACGATATAAGCCCTTAATAAATAAATACAATGATCTGATTTAAAACATAATACAATTTAAAGTTGTTTCATTTTCAAACTTCAAAACAGAGGATCGGGTGCTTGCGTGCATGCGTCGCTCGTGTGCAATTTTTTTCGTGACTTTCCTGGTTGCGCACGGCGCCGCAGGCGGTCCGGCTTGCTTCAACCCATGGTTGTGAACATCCAGACGTTAATCGGCAAAGACATTTCTTGTCCTAGTTCGACAACATATAAGATGTCATGCAAAATTCCAATGAGTGATGTGGAGAATGTATCTACTAGATGTGCTCTGCCTTGTAACCGAATACAAATCTGTACCAAAAATGCATTAAACATGTGCTCTTAAAATTACCTCCTTCCAATGAAGCAGATCAGCAGATACGACATCTTTCCTTTATTAATCTCTCCATGAAACAAAGGAATGTTTTACACAAACTATAACTAGCACAGCCTTCTGGGAGTGTATCATTGATTTAGTGCAAGCCACCTGTGGACCCTTATTGGTGCACAGCGTCTCAAGAGCAGCCGGGTTTGCTTCAACCGATAGTTACGGACATCCAGACGTTAATCAGCAACGAGCATTTCTAGTCCGAGTTCGACAAAATCTACGTCAACACATAATAAAAAAAATTCTAATTCGTGTTGTAGAGAATGTATCTCCTGTACGTGTAACTTTTAAGTGGTATGCCTTGTAACTGATGAATGATCCGAGTGTGCTCCCTATTTCAAAGACAATGAGTTGCTGCAGAGGGAGATGCTTCCTGAAAACACAAAAATATCCTTTGACCTTTATCACAAGAACAATGAGTCTCACCTGAGTTATCTGTCCAGGTTACTTGCAAAACACACACTTTGTCCTAACATCACTTAATCAATGTTTGACCCTTATAGACAAAATGTTACATGTATACACACAATCGGACAAGTATTCATTCTAAATTATTGACATGTATATTAACAAAATTGAATTACTGCACTGAAATATACTGCATCAGGTTACATCGCATTAACAAGCTATTTAAAAAAAAAAAGCATTGTCTGCTTAACAGTGTATGTACAACATACGATTGCAACATTCAAAACGAGTAGTCCATTGCATGCTGGCGTCTGGGTCAAAACTTAGCAAATTCAAAACATTACCTACACACTCCACAACTGAGATGCCACATCAACCATCACCCCCTATTGACAGGCTCTTGTCCACATGCAGGCCGGTGTAGGGCCACCACCTTGTGGCACAGGGGCAGCTGCTACTTGGGGGTGCTCTTCGAGTGTTTGAGACGAGATCGCTGCAAAACTCCCGTATTGCCGAGGCAATTAAGCAAGCACAATATAAATGCAATTGATAACAGTGAATGCTTGGAAGCTTATTGGTTCTCGCTCCTGGTTAGAGATCTACCCAACCCACAGGTCCAAAGACTGGCCGCTATTACCCGGCAGGTTTAACCTAGGAATTGAGTGTTCAAATTCACCTTCTTGTCATTAAAGGCCTGTGACAAAGGTGCATCTATTGGAGCGACATCGTCTCAAGCTTACACATCTACTGGGTCTCCATTTAACTTTGTATTGTCTCGGAGGAAGTCAACCCACACCTCCACTTCCACAAACTGCTGGGAGTTGCCTTGCTCTGCCTCACAATGAGAATTCTCCTCCTGCTTAACGTTGCCTGCATCGATGTGAAGGTCCGATTTTGGAGTTGATTCATCTTCACATTTTACCATCACTTCTTCGCTCTTCACCATCACTTCTTCACATTTCACCTTTACCTCTTCATATTTCACCTCGATACATTTAAAAGTGTCCAAGCTGGGATATTCTTCCGGTTCTTGTTTCATGAGGGATGGGCTCATAGCAGCACTTTGACTTTCACAAGCTAATTTCAGACTCCACTCCTGGTGGATCTTCTGATGCTTGTGTGTTCTCTGGTGTCTGTGAAGATGTGGTGACTGTGCAAACGCCATCCCACACACACTGCACTTGAAGGGTTTATCTCCCGTGTGTGTTCTCTTGTGTATTACAAGAGTAGATGAACGTGCAAACGTCTTCCCACACACACTGCACTTGAAGGGCTTCTCTCCTGTGTGAGTTCTCTGGTGTGCCACAAGATCAGATGAATGCGCAAACGTCTTCCCACACACACTGCACTTGAAGGGTTTCTCTCCCGTGTGTGTTCTCTGGTGTACTTGAAGATGTGGTGACTGTGCAAACGCCTTCCCACATACACTGCACTTGAAGGGTTTCTCTCCCATATGTGTTCTCTGGTGTTCTACAAGAGCAGATGAACGTGCAAACGTCTTCCCACACACACTGCACTTGAAGGGCTTCTCTCCCGTGTGTGTTCTCTGGTGTTCTATAAGAGTAGATGAAAGTGTAAATGCCTTCCCACACACACTGCACTTGAAGGGTTTCTCTCCCGTGTGTGTTTTCTGGTGTGCTACAAGAGGAGATGACTGTGCAAACGCCTTCCCACACACACCGCACTTGAAGGGTTTCTCTCCCGTGTGTGTTCTCTGGTGTATTACAAGAGCAGATAACTGTGCAAATGCCTTCCCACACACTATGCACTTGAAGGGTTTCTCTCCCGTGTGTGTTCTCTGGTGTTGTACAAGAGTAGATGACTGTGCAAACGCCTTCCCACACACACTGCACTTGAAGGGTTTATCTCCCGTGTGTGTTCTCTGGTGTGTTACAATAGTAGATGAACGTGCAAACGCCTTCCCACACACACTGCACTTGAAGGGTTTCTCTCCCGTGTGTGTTCTCTGGTGTACTTGAAGATGTGGTGACTGTGCAAATGCCTTCCCACACACACTGCACTTGAAGGGATTCTCTCCTGTGTGTGTTCTCTGGTGTACATGAAGATTTGATAACTGTGCAAACGCCTTCCCACATACACTGCACTTAAAGGGTTTCTCTCCTGTGTGTGTTCTCTGGTGTTCTACAAGAGCAGACGAACGTGCAAACGCCTTCCCACACACACTGCACTTGAAGGGTTTCTCTCCCGTGTGTGTTCTCTGGTGCCGTGTAAAACGTCCAGGATGGTCCGTGCTGTATGCACACCGGTGGCATTGTTGCCTTGTCGTACCGAGCTGCGCCAAGTGCTTTTGCTCCATCAGACCAATTCTGCAGAGGAAGCGACAGAGGAAGCGACAGCTGCAGACAGAAAAAAAAGAATATCCACACCATCCACACGTCATTATCGAGGCACAACGGAATGCACATATACACAGTAACACGTCACTTACACGTCTATACTTATTCATATATTCATTAATATAGTGAAAAAGTGTCCCAAATTCATCACACGGGCTGTTATGGCACACAATGAGGGGGTGAATGGTCACAAATTTCGGCTGTCTGGCTACAAAAGGAATATTTATGAAAGCTAAATTCAGTTCACATAGCAAAAGGTGTTGAAAATAATACTATTTGTGTTATGCAGAAATGCATCAATTAATGTTCAATCGCAACTTAGAGGTGTGAAGCCAGCCAGGCTCACGATGTCCTTGAATGCTGGGATGAACAGATCTGACTTCAGATGCATGTGTGTGCTGTGTTAACTTCTTGACTGTTTCCATTCTTACAAAGAGTTCCAGAGGAAAAAAAAAAACTACAGCTTTGATATAACCTCCCTGTTAAATAGAGTTAATAGACTTTACTGCAAACACAAACTTTACACTGTCACACACTGGAATGGTTAACAGGTGGTGGTGTATTAATGCTCTCTTACTCCACCAAGTAATTCATTGAGGATCAATCAACATCGCCGAGGCTGCGTGTCTCTCTCTCTCCTCGTGGTGAGATGTTAACTGCCTCTCCTGGCATACAGGAAATCGTGGGTTCGATCCCAACAATGACGCCTGCTGTATATTTGGAGTTTGCCTGCCTCTCTCTCTCTCTCCCCGTGGTCGCGTTGATTTCCCTCCGGATCCCCTGGTTGTCCCCACACCACATGCAGAGAGTGAACACCACGACGTGTCTAAAGTGAACACCGCCAAGCGTCTAGAGTGAACACTGCCACGCTGTTGACAACCCCCACCTTGTCGTTGTTGTTGTGGGCAGGTCGCTTCTGAAAACAATAGCGGTACAGCAGCTCAAGCGGGCGTGGCCTGGCAAAAAAAAACGTGAATATTTAAAATAAAACAATGTTACAAAGTAGCGAGCCAGGTTAAGAGAAATAAAACTTAAGCAAGATACTCTTTGGTTCTTTCGGTAAAGTCACGTAGAAATTTTTTTTAAATTAAATAATAGCATACGACGTTTCAATCGCAACACAAGCAATCATCATCAGGTACAAATGAAAGAAACAAACCTAGTCAACTTAGAAATACAATGCAATACATCACAGAGAGTCAGCTAACATAAGTCAGTTTTCATGTAGTAAAAGGTTTTTACCCTTTTAACTGGTGCAAAATCTGACATCTTTATACAAGGCATCATGTTTGCAATAACCTCAACACAAGAAGTCAAAATGCAAACAAAAAGAAACTCTGATGAAGATAATGCTATGCACTGTCCTTGAAGTTGATTGGTCCACATCCGAGACAGCTTTCTTTAGAGCCTAGTCTCCATTGGTGTTGGACCAGATGACGTTAAAAGGTGTACAACTCAAAGACAGCCCACTATCAGAGTATTGAGAGCTCGGGGTAAGCATTTACACTACGAGACCTCCTTTACCAGTGGCAAAATATAATAATAGGTTTTTACCCTTTTAACTGGTAAAAAATCTGACACCTTTATACAAGGCATCATGTTTTCAATAACCTCAACACAAGTCAAAATGCAAACAAAAAGAAACTCTGATGATAATGATGCACTGTCCTTGAAGTTGATTGGTCCACACCCGAGACAGCTTTCTTTAGAGCCTAGTCTCCATTGGTGTTGGACCAGATGACGCCAAAAGGCGTAAACTCAAAGACAGCGCACTATCAGAGTATTGAGAGCTCGGGGTAAGCATTTACACTATGAGACCTCCTTTACCAGTGGCAAAATATAGTAATAGGTTTTTACCCAGCATTTTTACTTCTTGTGTTGAGGTTATTGCAAACATGATGCCTTGTATAAAAGTGTCAGATTTTGTACCAGTTAAAAGGGTAAAAACCTATTACTATATTTTGCCACTGGTAAAGGAGGTCTCATAGTGAGTCAGTTTTCAGTTTCATTTATTAGGTGTAACCCTGTGAGCCCTGTGGCTCTTGAATCGGGTGCAACCGCAACAAAACAAAAACATGAACAAGAAAACATCTTAAAGTAACTACGCGCTACAGAAAAATCCTGGCAAAAACAGCAAAGTCCTCCAGAAAAAAAACCGCATTTCAACAGTGTGTGCAAAAATCCCAGTGGGATGCAAGTCAAACAATAACAACACAAAGACACACAGAGATACACACATAGGCACACAGAGAAACAACACCTCTGTGTGCGGCCTTGATTATTACATTAATATATTATAATTATTATAACACATAATAATTATAACATATAATAATTATTATAACATATTATAATTAGGGCATTGTGTCAATGAGAGATTTGGAGGTTTGGTGACTGCAGGAAATAATAGAGAGAGCCACTTAAACAAACCGAGTAGAATTTGTAAATGTAATTCAATGCAACACAGAGCGTCGGTCAACACACAATTGACGCATAGCCTGGCTGATTACGTTCTTCCAAAGATTGATAACTAAGCGAGAGAATTGAAGCAAACGCGATCAGGCGAGGGCAGGAGGCAAGGCCCCGCGTTGTAAAGTTTCAAACTGGATATCGCTTCCATGCTCGCTGCTACTCAACTGATATCCCTACGAGAGAGAGAGCGAGGCTCTACCTCGGTAAACAACAACAACCACCACAACCACCACCGCGATGAGAATTTCTCACCTCGGATTTCAGTACACGGGCAGAGCGGCAACTTCCCGTTACGTGACGTCACGCAGCACCAGGAGGTGACATGACGTCACTTGTGCGGTACAAAACACTCCCCTCCCACAATGAGCGGCTCTGTAACATAGAGACAATTATGTTAATGAGCCTGGTCCATACGTGGAGTGATGGGCGTAGAGGCGAACCCGTCGCAATAAACTCGCGACAGCTTACACAATACATTATGTTAATGAACCACCAATCACTGGGCGTGGCTTTGCCCAAATAAGGATTGTACTTGAACGGATAACGAAAGTGACCGCAGCGGTGACGTCACGCTCAAGGGCGCGTTGGACGGGGTGGGGTGATACCTTGGTAACATGACGTCACTAGCAAGGAACACCTACCCCTGGCGTTTCAAGCCGATGAGGTATTGCTGAGTGGTGACGTCACAGAGCGGGGTTGGAGTTTAAGTTGATTTAGATTTATTTTCCATTGCTCCCTCCCTTGAACAGAGACCCCTTGGATGTGTGAGCTCAGCAACAACAACGTGGACATTATTGTGTGTGTACGTACACTGTGTATACTTTACACTGTGTGTACACACTGTGTGTGTGTGTACGTGTGTACACTGTGTGTGTGTACACTGTGTGTGTACGTGTGTACACTGTGTACACTGTGTGTGTGTGCACACTGTGTTGGTAACGTAGTGAATGCTTGGGAGCTTCATTGTCTCTCGCTCCTGCCGACAGATTTACCTAGCCTACAGGTCCACAGATATCAGCCGCTCCTACTCTGCAGGTTCAGCTACGTACAGTGCGAAAGAAGTTCAACGTACACACAAACTCACACAGTCCCGAAGATGAGCACGGTTGGTTACGTATGGTTCTAAAACAGGACCTTGCGGGGTGGGCTGGTAGGAATAATACTTAGTACCGGTACAGGGATATCAACCGGGTATAGAGGAGTTAAAGAAAAAATTACTGTATTCTAGTGGAACGTTAATTAAAAGTGTTTGATTTGACAAGAAACGCTGTGAGATTTAAAGACTCGTAGTCTTTCATTTCCAACACCACCCTCAACACCACCCCTCCCACCAGCCCTCACCAGCCCCCCCACCACCCCCCACCCAACCCCACCACCACCCCACCACCACCTTCTGCACTAGGCCTCGCGAAGCCTCCCGCACTAGGCCTCGCGAAGCCTGCCGGACTAGGCCTCGCGAAGCCTGCCGCACTAGGCCTCGCGAAGCCTCCTGCAGTAGGCCTCGCGAAGCCTTCTGCACTAGGCCTCGCGAAGCCTTCTCTGCAGTAGGCCTCGCGAAGCCTTCTCTGCAGTAGGCCTCGCGAAGCCTTCTCTGCAGTAGGCCTCGCGATGCCTTCTCTGCAGTAGGCCTCGCGATGCCTTCTCTGCAGTAGGCCTCGCGAAGCCTGCCGCACTAGGCCTCGCGAAGCCTTCTGCACTAGGCCTCGCGAAGCCTTCTTTGCACTAGGCCTCGCGAAGCCTTCTTTGCACTAGGCCTCGCGAAGCCTTCTCTGCAGTAGGCCTCGCGATGCCTTCTCTGCAGTAGGCCTCGCGAAGCCTTCTGCACTAGGCCTCGCGAAGCCTTCTTTGCACTAGGCCTCGCGAAGCCTTCTCTGCAATAGGCCTCGCGAAGCCTTCTCTGCAGTAGGCCTCGCGAAGCCTTCCCTGCAGTAGGCCTCGCGAAGCCTTCCCTGCAGTAGGCCTCGCGAAGCCTTCCCTGCAGTAGGCCTCGCGATGCCTTCTCTGCAGTAGGCCTCGCGATGCCTTCTCTGCAGTAGGCCTCGCGAAGCCTGCCGCACTAGGCCTCGCGAAGCCTTCTGCACTAGGCCTCGCGAAGCCTTCTTTGCACTAGGCCTCGCGAAGCCTTCTTTGCACTAGGCCTCGCGAAGCCTTCTCTGCAGTAGGCCTCGCGATGCCTTCTCTGCAGTAGGCCTCGCGAAGCCTTCTGCACTAGGCCTCGCGAAGCCTTCTTTGCACTAGGCCTCGCGAAGCCTTCTCTGCAATAGGCCTCGCGAAGCCTTCTCTGCAGTAGGCCTCGCGAAGCCTTCCCTGCAGTAGGCCTCGCAAAGCCTTCCCTGCAGTAGGCCTCGCGAAGCCTTCCCTGCAGTAGGCCTCGCGATGCCTTTTCTGCAGTAGGCCTCGCAAAGCCTGCCGCACTAGGCCTCGCGAAGCTTGCCGCACTAGGCCTCGCGCCGTGCTTTTTGTGCACAAATAAGGCGATTAAATGTATCTCGTCTCTGTGTTAATAAATGTATCTTGTCTCTGTGTTAAAAAAACGTGCTGCGTTTCAGTAAAGTAAATTTGAAGCGAAGTTTATTATTACACTTGTTAAGCCAGGAAAGCCCCACTGAGTCAAAAGGTTTTTGTAGGGTCCTGCCAAGTGTTTGCAGTAGGGGGCGATGTTGCTACACCAAATCGGACGATACGAAGGGAGAGATTGAGGCCTAGTTCTAGGCTTTAGGCCTAGCTGTAGGCTTTAGGGCGCTGTGAGTTAATTTTTAATTTAAATGTTTTAATGATTTATGTAAAAGCTTTAAATTTAAATGTTTCTATTTAAAAACATGAGGGAATGTAACATTGTTAAACATAACTCCCTTTCACACACGCGGGGGTACGATACGAAGGGAGAGTTTCAGGCCTAGTTCTAGGCTTTAGGCCTAGCTGTAGGCTTTAGGGCGCTGTGATTTTCTTTTATTTAATTTCAAAGTTTTAATTAAAAGCTATCTCTGGGAATTATAAGAGAATGTTACACATGTCATGCCAAGTGTTTGCAGTAGGGGGCGATGTTGCTACCAGGATAGCGTCACTGAGTCTAAAGGTTTTTGTAGGGTCATGCCAAGTGTTTGCAGTAGGGGGCGATGTTGATACACGGACGGACGGACGGACACATTAATCTATTGGTGGTCTGGTCCACTTCGTTCCTACCAGTAACAGGACCCTGCGGGGTGGGCTGGTAGGAATAATACTAATACCGGTACAGGGATATCGACTGGGTATAGAGGAGTTAAAAAGAAAATGATTTGTGCATGGGGGGTGAGCGATGACGTCCACACCCCCCTCCCCACTGACTCGCGCGCACACAGAGCAATGACGTCAACACCCCCCTCCCCACTGACTCGCGCGCACACAGAGCAATGACGTCAACATCCCCCTCCCCACTGACTCGCGCGCCCACAGAGCGATGACGTCCACACCCCCCTCCCCACTGACTCGCGCGCACACAGAGCAATGACGTCAACACCCCCCTCCCCACTGACTCGCGCGCCCACAGAGCGATGACGTCAACACCCCCCTCCCCACTGACTCGCGCGCACACAGAGCAATGACGTCAACACCCCTCTCCCCACTGACTCGCGCGCCCACAGAGCGATGACGTCAACACCCCCCTCCCCACTGACTCGCGCGCACACAGAGCGATGACGTCAACACCCCCCTCCCCACTGACTCGCGTGCCCACAGAGCGATGACGTCCACACCCCCGTCCACACCCCCCTCCCCACTGACTCGCGCGCCCACAGAGCAAGGATTGCAACAGGCGATGTCATTGGCTGCGCCGGATGCGACGGCCATCTTGTTTAGTTCATTTAGTTCACGGATCGCAGGGGGAGCGGGCGGCCATCTTGTCAGACAGAGGGACGGCCTCGCGAAGCCTGTCGCAGTAGGCCTCGCGAAGCCTCCTGCACTAGGCCTCGCGAAGCCTCCTGCAGTAGGCCTCGCGAAGCCTTCCCTGCAATAGGCCTCGCGAAGCCTTCTCTGCAGTAGGCCTCGCGAAGCCTTCTCTGCAGTAGGCCTCGCGAAGCCTTCTCTGCAGTAGGCCTCGCGATGCCTTCTCTGCAGTAGGCCTCGCGAAGCCTTCCCTGCAGTAGGCCTCGCGAAGCCTGCCGCACTAGGCCTCGCGAAGCCTGTCGCAGTAGGCCTCGCGAAGCCTCCTGCAGTAGGCCTCGCGAAGCCTTCCCTGCAATAGGCCTCGCGAAGCCTTCTCTGCAGTAGGCCTCGCGAAGCCTTCTCTGCAATAGGCCTCGCGAATCCTTCCCTGCAGTAGGCCTCGCGAAGCCTTCTCTGCACTAGGCCTTGCGAAGCCTTTTCCGCAGTAGGCCTCGCAAAGCCTGCCGCACTAGGCCTCGCGAAGCCTGCCGCACTAGGCCTCGCGCCATGCTTTTCGTGCACAAATAAGGCGATTAAATGTATCTTGTCTCTGTGTTAATAAATGTATCTTGTCTCTGTGTTAAAAAAACGTGCTGCGTTTCAGTAAAGTAAATTTGAAGCGAAGTTTATTATTACACTTGTTAAGCCAGGAAAGCCCCACTGAGTCAAAAGGTTTTTGTAGGGTCCTGCCAAGTGTTTGCAGTAGGGGGCGATGTTGCTACACCAAATCGGACGATACGAAGGGAGAGATTGAGGCCTAGTTCTAGGCTTTAGGCCTAGCTGTAGGCTTTAGGGCGCTGTGAGTTAATTTTTTATTTAAATGTTTTAATGATTTATGTAAAAGCTATTTAAAAACATGAGGGAATGTAACATTGTTAAACATAACTCCCTTTCACACACGCGGGGGTACGATACGAAGGGAGAGTTTCAGGCCTAGTTCTAGGCTTTAGGCCTAGCTGTAGGCTTTAGGGCGCTGTGAGTTTTTTTTATTTAATTTCAAAGTTTTAATTAAAAGCTATCTCAGGGAATAAGGGAATGTTACACGTGTCATGCCAAGTGTTTGCAGTAGGGGGCGATGTTGCTACCAGGATAGCGTCACTGAGTCTAAAGGTTTTTGTAGGGTCATGCCAAGTGTTTGCAGTAGGGGGCGATGTTGATACACGGACGGACGGACGGACGGACGGACAGTCGGACGGACGGACGGACGGACACATTAATCTATTGGTGGTCTGGTCCACTTCGTTCCTACCAGTATAAGTTCTAGATACATATGTAGTATTCTTGAATGAGACCGACACTTCGTAGAGGCCACACGCTTTTATTCCGATAACACTAGTCCTCAGGACTCACTGGGGAAACAGTCCCACACACACAACCTAGGGAGGTACAGCCTCCGGCTCTATTCTCATTTCTCTCCTTCCCTAGCCTCCAGCT